TCCTCTTCAGACTTATTTTAGGGCATCCCCATAGCCCCGATAGCTGCAATGTCTGCCACCTCATTGAACCCAACCGTGGCAGAGTTCAGCGCTTGGGATTGTGAGGGGTCGATGGATAGAGCATCTCAGACACGAAGCGATGGCTGCGGGTAAACAATGCGGCGCTTGACAAAACGCTCTGCGAAAAAAAGGCAGACAACGCAAAAACAACAATTGAAATGAAAACGAAACGAGCTGCAATTACAGCGGCAGCAACTTCAGGCTGCAGACTATAGACTGCAGACTGCAGACTGCAAACTGCGGATGCAAACGCAAAGTTCCACAACATTGAAGCCTCTCAGTGGCGGCGGCGGCGGATATGGCAACGAGAGCATCTGCATCTGCAGCGAAATCCGCAGCTGTTGCTGGTGGCCAAATGGCTAGGTGGCAAGTGAATAAAAGCCACCTCCACTCCATCGAGTGGCATCAGTTGCAAGCAGCGAGCCACCAAGACTAATCACCAAGGATAAGGACAAGCCACCCCCACAACATGATGAAACTGGTAAGGATATCATGGATTTAACCGTAACCCCGAACCGGTTTAAGGATATTCCCGCAAACAATCCCATAGGTACTTTCCTTACTCTCTATCTGCGCCTTGGCGGCAGCTCGTCCTGGTTTCCTGCACGGCCACCACCATCACTATCCGGAGATTCCCTACTATCCGCACCACCACCATGTGGAGCCACTGCACTACCACCTGCCCGCCGTTTCCCATCAGAGCTCCACGGTGGTGCACAGTGTGCCGCACCACATCATCAAGCCGGTGCTGCTGCCCACCGTGGTGAAGACCGTGGTGCATCCTCCCATCATCAAGGCTTACCATCCTGCGCCCCTCATCAAGGCCTACCACCCATACGATCCCTTCCATCTGCACCACCATCACGACTTCCACGATTACCACCTGCATTAAACGACGATTGACGACGCTGATGACTGAGGATCGATAACGATAACTAAATGCCGATTACGACGACGGGAAGGATGCAACCTTTGTATGCTGCGTATGTTTGCGTGTGTCGATTGTTCATGTGTAAAGTCCAAAAGGAAGTTTCGCTGTAAGCTGCTGACTATGCTATTCCATCTATCTTTAATACTGTACATAAAAGATACAATATCTAAAAGTAATGTTTGATTTGGTTTTGGGGATAATAGCTGGCAAATACCATTTTCAAATAGATGCCATCATCAAAAATATATACCTATATATAAAATCTGAAGGTCTTCGAAGTTTATGGTCTTGAATATACGAAAAATAGTACGCATATCAAAATGTAACAAAATAATATGTTGGAAATATAAATGGATTTAAAAGAGGTGAGCATCCCCATTACAACAAAATTGTTTATGGATGGATTTAAAATGTCCTGACGGCCTATTCAGATATAGGCAGAACTTAAATATTAAATCAATTATTACAAATTTGATTGCACAATTTACAATAACCGTTTGAAATTAATCTGCTTTAGTCTTCAGCTGGAAGTGAATCAAATGAGATCTATTTGTGGCGAAACCGCACGAAAATCGCTTCCCCATATCGAGGTGACATAATTAGTCTGCCGTCGCAATTAACCGAAAAAACCATTCGATACATTCGAGGGGGCATGGGATGGCACATTTCCCATGGTGACAACACACACGTTGCATCTACATGTGGCAACCAAATGCTTTTTCAGTGTTATGCAAATCAGTGCATAAGCAGATGATGAATGTCTATGCAGGCGGGACGGGGGGAATATCTATGGTATTTATTGGCCAAGAGAGGTGATAAATAGTTGCTGTTGCATGCAATTTTCCATGGTGAACAGGGTCTGAAAATAAAACCAGAAGGGATCCAGATCCATTTCAAGTTCAAGTCTATTCGGCTTTTGCAATTGACTCGCCGTTTTGCATAAGCCAATGCAAATTGCCCGTATAGCTTACCCACACTGAGCACCGTGATAAATTTGAATTCAGAATTAGCTTAATCGGCAAACATTGCCATAAAGCCAGTCAAATGGGATATTCAAACATTTAATGTGACATAAACATCAATTAGAAATTGCCAATTTGCAATAGATATAAGCTGTGGGGTTGGGCAAAATCAGGGGTGTTTCAAAGGGGTCTTATATACTGAGGTTCTCCCTTGTACGCCACTGTTTACTACACAAATAACTGGATACTTCCTTGTTTGGTGCATTAAAATCAAATCAAAATCAATATCAATCAACTAGTAACCCTGAAAACTTTTCGCTTTTTGTTTTGGCCTGTCTTTTCATCGCCCAAAATTAGCCGCAAATCGGTTATGGTTAAGCCAACTTTTCAGAGTGGTTCGCTGACCGGCAAACGAGGCAGCTGAAATAAAACAATAAATAAATAGATTCGGCAAGGTAACTGCGGTTTTTGTCATATTTTAGAGGCACGTGATTCGGTAGCTCATTAAAGGTAAACAAACAAGCAAATGGCAAAGATGTGAAGATATAGATAAAAAGGTGGGGTCTGTTGTTGGTTTGAAAACGACAGCATTGGGAACTTATACTTATAATATAATATTTCAGTTTTCCTACTTGACGCATGTTTTTTTACATTTAATATATTCTATATTTTGTTAAGATGAAATACTTATATTTCACTAACTACTCAAAATATGTTTCGTAGACCTTATTTAAGATAACTTACCAAGTATTGCAAATGTTGGGATATTGTTTTAAAAACAATTTGCTACCGAAAAAGTCATCCTTCGAGCAAGATTCCTCTGATATGCAAATACATTTCCTGATCTACATGACGGCATTGTAATAACTCACTGCCTGCGACAGCGATCATAAAATGTGTCTGATGTGCCAGTGTCGCAGTATTGCACAAGACAAAATCGCTTTGGAGACAATCTCTGTCGATTGGCCAAGCCCCGGGGCAAGTTTGCTGACCAACTGAACTACCAACTGCCCGCTGGCGTTATTGGCAAGTCACATTAATCAACGTTTCACCAAGTTGGGAACTTAATTTATGCAAGCCAAAAGTGCAAAGAGCAAGCCCCTCTGCCCCGCCAACTAAGCCGCTTCAGTTAATTCTTTTCTTGGGCTCACATTACATATTTTCCCCCTGACATGATTCTATTTATTTGTTTGCTTAATTGTGCGACGCATGCAACAGTGTCAAGTATACGCCGCATAGTCCCAAGTGAGATTGCAGGAAGGGGAGGCTGAGTTAGGGGGAGTCCACTTAGAACATGTCTCGCATTGCATAAATCATAAGGCGGCGAAATCGAATAGAATCGAATCAGATCGCTTTGAAGTGGCCAGTCAACTGGGGGAGAACGAGTTCACTGGGAGAAAAGTCCTTAAAATGGGGAGAGCTTTTTATCTTGGTTCTTAAAATTTATAAAAAATGTTGGTCAGTAAATAAGTTAAGTTCTATTTTTACCAAACTAGTATTGGTAAACCATTTTTTTATTAATAATTATAATTAAACTTAAGAAATATTTATATCTCACGGGAAAAAACGATAAGGAACACTTAAAAATAGGGTTAAAAGGTCGGTCATAAAATTGTAAGAAATTTTATATGATTTGATCCTAGAAATGTTTATAAACGAAAAATGAGAACAGATTGATCTTGAATCATGCAGTTCTTGAAATTGTACTTCCCTTTTTTCTGCGTGTATGTTACAAATGCATTATAATAATATATTTTTTAATAGTATTTATTTTTACTGTGAGGCCGGGTAAGACGAGAACTTGCCCCCGGAAGGGTTAGCATTCGGTTCGGTTTGGTTGGGTTCTATGTGGCTTAACTTGGCTATAACGCTGTGGAAAATGTGTTTGTTGCCGGGCCAAATGAGTGCAGAGTGCAGAGGCGTGTTGGCGACCCATTTAGAGAGCGTTAGAACTGCAGTTCTGTAATAATCTGTATAAATAGGCCAGTGTGGAGTGCAGTTCTATATCAAATCGTTGCAAACCATCGACAAAACAAAATGTTCAAGCTGGTGAGTGAGATAAACTAAGAAAGGATTATCCAGGAAGAATAAAATATAAATAATAAGATTTAAAAAGTAATATTCCTTGTAATGATAACAATCCCTTACCTTTCCAGTGCGTCTTCGTTGCCCTCCTGAGCCTGGCTGCTGCTGCCCCAGCTCCTGCCCCTGTTCCAGCTCCTGCTCCCGCTCCTGGACTGATTCACCCTGGCCTGGTGGCTCCTGGAATCTGGGGACCCACTGTCGTCGGATCTCCCCTGCTGGCTCCCCAGGTTGTGAGCGTGGTGCCCGGCGCCATCTCCCATGCTGCCATCACCCAGGTGCATCCTTCCCCGCTGCTGGTCAAGAGCATCCATGGCCTGGGACCCGTTGTGATCGGTTAATCCAGCTACATTCCTTGACGATCCTACAAGCCCACATATCTCACCCACTCCAGCCAGCCATTCAGCTCCTGTTCAACCCTAGCATTTCCTGCGGATTACTTCAATCACGTATCCTGTGTGCCCTGTTTATAAAGAAAGCAAATCCAGCAATGAGAAGAAAAAAATCACAAAAAAATGTTTAGACACTAAAATACATTCCAAGCAATAAATTACCTACCATACTTGTTATAGCGAGCGAAAATGATTTTGACTTTGTTATTTCATTGATTTCTACAGCAGCCTTAAAGTATAGTACACAAAAGATTTGTCGAACGAAAGGTAAGTATAAGAGTTTTATATGATCGATATGATCGTTTACATATAACTCAAAATTTCATACAATTTTAATTTTAATATTTAAGGAACAACAATGAATGCTGAGATGATGACCTTGTGGGTTTATATAAATTTTGACTTAGAAAACCCTTCAAAAAATATTCAGATCAATTACTCATTAATAAAGCCTCTTACATTGTCTTAACTTAAATAAAAAATACAAAACTAAAGTTTAAAAAAAAATGTATAAGTATTTAAGGAATCTTTTAATCAAGCATCCCTTTTAAAGAGAGATAAAAACACAGTTGATTATCTTGTTATGACAAAACGAAAAACATTTATTTAAACAAAAAATGGTAAATACTGTATCACATTTGGAAACTTAATGGTGGAGGGTGTAGGCCAGAGGAGCGGAATGCACCACCGACTTGATGAGGGGAGCAGAGTGGACCACAGAGTGCACCAAAGGAGCGGAATGCACCACTGGGACGGAGTGGACGACTGGAGCAGCATGGACAACGGGAACGGAGTGGACGACTGGAGCAGCATGGACAGCATGGACAGCCACGGCGGGTTGGGTGTAGGTGGTGGTCTTCACGATGGGGGCAACAACGGGCTGCACCACCGCCTTGCTGTGCACCTGTGTGATGCTCTGGTGGGAGACCGCCGAGGGAGCTGAGTGGACCACTGATCCCACCTTGGCCAGGACGGGCTCATGGACCACGTGGTGGGTCTCGATCAGACCAGCACTGGCGGTGGCAACCAGGAGAGCGATGACAGCAACCTGTATAAATACATATTATTTATGAGATCTTCTTTTCCATCCAGAAATCTTTTAGACTTACGAATTTGAACATCTTGAGTTTGTTTTTGGTTGGTTGTTTTTGGGGTAAGCTCAGAGAGATGACTGATGCTGTTGGAACCTGTGGATGAGTCTTATATAGCAACTAACCAACGCAGGCTAAGGGCTCAAACAGCCAGCGACTTCGGCTTCCGAAGTTGTCCACCTTGGGGGCTTTTGATAAGGTACGAGATACTTCAGACTTCGGGCTCCAAAACGATCTGAGCTTTTGGCAATCGGCTGCTGCAGCATCGAGAAACCATAATGAGTTGACTTCGTCGAGATTTCGGTTCCCGATCGGATCAAAGTCGGGTCATGCAGGGGCGTAATCAAGGTCAACGGTTGGTTTTGAAGCACTCGATGCGCATTCGACGTTCTATATAAGTTGGGTTTGCTGTCCCCAAACATCATCAGTTATTCAACGAATCTTCTCAAGCCAACAAGCAGCATTCGCTTAAAAAAATCAAATCAAAATGTTCAAATTCGTAAGTAACATAAGGAATATTATCCTCTACGGCAGGAGTAACCATATCTTTTCCCCCATAGATCGCTGTTGTCGCTCTCCTGGTTGCCACCGCCAGTGCTGGTCTGATCGAGACCCACCATGTGGTCCATGAGCCCGTCCTGGCCAAGGTGGGATCAGTGGTCCACTCAGCTCCCTCGGCGGTCTCCCACCAGAGCATCACCCAGGTGCACAGCAAGGCGGTGGTGCAGCCCGTTGTTGCCCCCATCGTGAAGACCACCACCTACACCCAACCCGCCGTGGCTGTCCATGCTGTCCATGCTGCTCCAGTCGTCCACTCTGTTCCCGTTGTCCATGCCGCTCCAGTCGTCCACTCCGTCCACTCCGTACCGGTGGTGCATTCCGCTCCTCTTGCCTACACCCTTCACCACTAAATCCTTTAAACCTTTTGTTTGTTAACCAATTATATGAAAACTAAATAAAATTCCCACAAGTACTATTGATCCCCAAACAACTATCATTTCTTGTTATATTTATTTCGAAACAGCATTGGATCATGGGATTGGTAAATGAGATGATCCAAACAAATTTAATCAATTTAAACTACAATTATTGTAAAAAGCTCTAAATCTATTGCAATTTATAATGCATTATCATATTAAAATAAAACTGCCATCAATTTTAAATGAATTCTTAGTTTGTCAATGCTAGGTGTGGAGCTTATGTAATTGTACACCGTCGACTCACCTATAAAAATTAAGCTACAGGAAGGGCTGAAACATTTAGATATATATAACATACAACCAGATTTGGAATTATATGGACTAAATCAAATATTAAAGTAATTATTAATATCAAATATAAAAGTAGCTAAGTAGCTAAGTTCATATTTAATTTATCATTATTAACCTCAGTCACCAAGCAAAAACTTCATCCAGAATTACAAACCAAACATCTAATTTTAGAAACCCCTTGCTAAGCAAAAATAACTTTCCCAACATTGTTTTATGTTTTTTATATGATAAATAATGTACAACAATTTGTTCAAACAATAACAGCAGCAAAAACAACACATGGCTAGTGCCCCAACGTAAAAGGTTTGCCATAAAAGCAAAGTTCAGGCCAAGAAGACATCGAATTGCCGGTGGTTAATGTGGGCAGATCCCTCGTCAAACTCCGATTACGAAAAGTGAGGTGGTGGCCAGAACAGTCGGAAACTTGGTTCGCAGCAGGAAATGTCAGATTATGATGGATTTGGCAGGCCTGAACCAAAGCAAGGGCAATGATTACCAAGGTATAAAGCAGCTGCAAAGAAAATGGAAATTTATTAAGTTATAAACGAAAAAAGTTAATATATTTTTTACTTACCATTCTATGCATGTTGAGGCAGCTGAAATTGGATCTAGTCTTAGTTTGAATTTGGCTGTGCGAAACTCCAGTAAGAACTCATGACCCACTGAGGCCTACGCACCGTTTATATAGCCAAATTGTCAATCGATTTGCCAAAATGACAAATGACACGCCGAATATAATGAAGGTCTTACAACGGGTATACTTAGCAAAGCGATTGAATAGACCAGAAAAATTTTGTTGACGTGATCAGACCGCTGATCCCAAAAATATAGTAATTGAACCGATAGCAAAATCTACGAAAAAACTGTAAAAAGTTTTAAAAAAGAGATCAATTATAATACCACGCAATTTAAGAAAAAATTTCGTCATTCAAAAGATAACTAAAAGATTGATAATAAAACGTGATATTTAGTAAGATGTTTGTAAGCAACAAGTTGTGAAATTTTCATAATAAAGGAGAAATATATTTGTCTTGGGAGTATTGCATTAAATTAGATGTTCAGTAAGCTTGAACCGTTGGGATATAGTAAATTAATATATTAAATTAACATATGTTAGTAGCTTGTATCCCAAGTTGGGACTTCCAACCCATAAAATATAGGTGATACAACAAAATAAAAAATAGAGTCAAATATATAAACAAACAAAAACGGGTTAGTCTCATCCTGCGATGACTGATTGATTTGTACGAGCCAACAGCCATAAAGAAATAATCGGCAAGCATCACTCCATAAAGAGAGACCGAAAATTACGATTTACGAGAGCAGAGATTCGAGTTTCGATCAAGATGTATGCATAATTTTCTGGATATTCATTTTCCACATTACCAGTTGGTATCCGATGGTTATCTTAAGTACGTGTAACTGTCGCTCACTCCAAAGCCGAGCCCCAAAAATCCGAAAAAGCAATGACACAGACGGCAAAGCAACAACGTCCAGTTTAAAATTGTGGGTTAAGTGCGCGTGGGGCTTGTCCGGCGAATAACCTTGACATAGGGACTGGGACCGAATCTGGGACCGAATCGGGGGTCTTTATCTGTCACTCGAGCGGCACTTAACAGCTGCTGCAGTTGGTAGCCAGGTCTTTATGGCCTGGCCATGAATCACTTGAGAAGCCGCAGCCATCAACTGGACCCGCCGATGTTGCAATCGGATTCAATTTGAATGCAGGCGTACGCGTATAATTTACTGCGCTCATGTTTGTGCCCCGTTTAATGAAGGCAAAGTCGGGGGCTTCGAGGGTTCTGATTTGGGTCAAGTTCGGACTTCATATGGAGGGTTCTCTATCATATTGATTTTATGTGTTAATATAACAAAACATTGTTTTTCCCAAATAAATTTAGAATTACTTCCTGATCTCAGAGGCTTATTTCAGATTATTTATTATTGGTTTTAGATTTCTCCTTTTACTTCTTACCTAAATATGGTAGGATAACTAATATTCCCTGAGATATGTATTTGTTTTATAATGATAATATTTTGGCATGATGTATATTTTTATATACTATACAATTTCGAAGAATTAATTTCTTATTTTATAGATTTTTGTGTTTGTTACATCTTGAACTGATTTTTAATATAGCTAAAAATATTAATTCGTTAGTTTGCTTCCTCTATAGCCAAACACAGTAGCATGATGAAATATTCATCAAAAGCGGTAATAAACAAAGTTATTAGTAACAATTTTACGCTTCTTAAGGCATAGTTTCTATTTCTATTATTATTATGTGTTTCTCAGAATTCCCCATTCAACTGATTTCCAGCTTCGCTCCTCACACATAACCGGCTTACATCCCCACAACATTTCATCATTTTGATTGTCTCTTAGTCCTTCTTTTCCAGAATTACATGTTCCTTTGCGATTGATTTTGAAAGGCCACGTTTATTCTTAGTTCATGTGTTTAGTTCATTACCGAGTCAAGGTGAGCACACCTATGAACACACAGACAATTGTCATAACCTTTAATTATCTCCACATCTCCTGTCAATGCAACCCATGTTATATGAACCGCGCTTATAGAATTGCCATCGATGGTATGTGCACTTTTACACATCGGCACATTTATTCATTAGCGTTATGTGGTAAAAGGTCATATAACGAGCTACAGGAGATACAACCACACAAACACATATCCACCAGATAGGATACACTCCTTTGGGCAGGGATGGGTTGGTATCCCCAAGTCGAGAATGCAGCTCAATTACGCCCGGATCGAGTGATTGTGAAAGGCCAACGCGGCGGAAGATGTAGTATCCCCTGGTGAAGTGCAAGGATAACCCACGCACTCCATCTCCGGGCAGCCTCATTTGCGTAAGCGACCGCATCTAAGGCCAATTACTTGGCCCATTGTCGATTGATTGGCCTGGCTTGTTGTACCGACTCGACTTCCTCGCTCAGAGTCACCCACACAAAAGCCCCTGGAACCTAGGTCAGTTAACGAACCGAACTGCGTCTTTGATAAGCGCGTTTAGAAGCCAAGCCAAGAAAGCCAGCTGAAAACCCGAATAAGTGTTTTACTTGAAACCCAAACCGGTTCGGGGCTCAAGTTCAGCCAAGTACTTAGCGACAAGCAGGCAATTGGGGTTTGGACCAAACTAGGCAACTATAAAAGCCCAGCGTTTGGTCTGTCATCATCAGCAGTTGCAATTGATTCACCAATCACAGCAAATCCCCAAAAAACCAAATCTCCAAAAATGTTCAAATTCGTGAGTTGTTCAGGAGTTGGAAATTATTACAAAAAAAAACGCGTCCTTTAACCGATTATCCCATCTGCAGGTTGCCTTCTTCGCCTGCCTGGCCGTGGCCGCTGCTGCTCCTGGTCTGATTGCCGAGACCCACTCGATTGTCCAGCCAGCTATTGTGGCCAAGACCGCCTACGTGGACACCAGCGCCTCCTCGGCCATCACCCACCAGAGCAACGTGAACCTGGTGCGCAAGGTGCCAGTTGCCTACTCCGCCCCAGTGGTTCATGCTGCTCCAGTTGTTCATGCCGCTCCAGTGGTCCATGCCGCTCCTCTGGTCAAGACCGTCATCCCAGCTGCTCCCCTGCTCCACACTGTGGTTCCCGCCGCTCCTCTGGTCAAGACTGTGATCCCAGCTGCCCCAGTGGTTCACTCCGTCCAGCCTCTGGTCCACTCTGTCCACAGTGCCCCAGTGGTTCACTCCGTCCAGCCTCTGGTCCACACCGTCCACAGTGCCCCAGTCGTGTACTCTGCCTACCACAAGTAAATCAATTGAAAGCGTTGTGATATGGTCATGATACAATTGTTGAACGAAAAAAGTTACAACCAATAAAAAAAAGGATTGAAATTAATTATTTGGTTTTGAGATCTCGGAAACTATGAAAACTAGAAAGTTGGGAACAAGCATGCAGATTCTAGAGATTCTTACGCTAACTCCAGGAAAGTGCCACGCCCACAAACACACAAGTTTGATTTTTAAAGATTTTGTTGTATATTAAATTTAATTTAATTTCGCTTGGTGATACCTAGAAACTCCAAAATTGCTCAAATTAGACCATTAGTTGATGAGCTATGACCGTATGCCCATATAACGCAAGTAAATAAGGTGTAAAATCTAGAAATGTAAAGTATACAAAAATGTAAGTATCCATGTTCCCTCGCTTCCAATCGAAGATACAGTTTTTTTGAAAGTTGGCAAAGAGAGTATCACATAGTCGGGGCATTCAACTATATCGATCATACTTGTATATATTTTCATGTCAAAGTCAAACTACTTGTAAGAATCTTTAACCACTCCTTGAAAATGCATTTATATACATAGGTTATTGTTATAATCAGAATATCAGGTAGAGCTCTGTTAATATAACCCATAAAAAGTGTATAACTAAAAAGTTTTTACTTATACACACAACGAACGTTCACATTTGGTTTTTTAAATGACTAAAAATACATTTATTTTTTTGGTAGCCCCTGGGCAGCTTTTGTTATCTTTTCTTTTATTTTGAATTTTTGCACTGAGCTACCGATTTAAGCTTAACGATGAATACCTATGAAAGACACTTAAATAAGAGTCATTCAAATTGATTATTTATATGTTAATTGGATTGGATCAAATCGAGAAGCCATTCAAACTTGAATATTGCCAAAAACTGGACCATTTCATTACCCCTTAAATAGGCAAATTTCGCAATATGTAATATCAACAATTCAATTTATTCAAAGAAGCAACCACAACCATCATAAGTTTCCTAATGGTGGTAGACATGGGTCAATGGGGCAGCGGCCACAGCGACAGTCTTGACCAGAGGAGCCACCACCGGGGTGACGAAGTTCTTCTGGTGGTGCACCTGGGTGTGGCTCTGGTGGGAGACGGCATGGGGCAGGGCCTTCACGACGGGCACGGCGGCCACATGGTGGACAGCAGGAGCCACATAGGTCTGGTGGTGCACTACGGGAACGGTCTTGACCACAGGCACCACTGGAACAACATGCTTCACGACGGGAACAATGGGAGCCACATGCTTGACCACAGGAGCCACGGGGTAAACAGTCTTGACCACAGGAACCACTGGGGCCACAGTCTTGATCACGGGAACAGCTGGCACCACATGCTTCACCACGGGAGTGAGTACCGCCTGGTTGTGGAACTGGGTGAAGCTCTGGTGAGAAGTGGCCACAGGAGCACTGTGCACCACAGCACCCACTTTGGCCACAACGGGGGCGACGGCCACATGGTGCTCCTCAATGAATCCCGGGGCGGCGGCGGCAATGGTGGCCAGGGCACAGATGGCAATCTAGAGTTAAGCATCAAGTTAGATCCTGAGTTAGATCCTTAAACCCCTTAAATACTCACGAAGCGGGACATGTTGGGTTTTTGGGTTTGTGTGGTGCTTTGAAGTCGACGAGTGACTGTTGCTGATCTGAAACCCAAACTACCTCTTTATATGGCCAAAAATTAGCCAGCCAGATTGTCCTTCAGCAAAATCAACTAACGAGCAATTGGCAAACTCGTTTGCTTTACATTGAACTTGAACTAAACATCTGCGAACTCTCAACAATCAATTGTCGTTGGGCCCAAAAAGGTTTCAAAGCTCAAACAATAACCCAAAGACTGATACCAAAAAACTTATTGTTAGTTTAGAGGTTCAGAGCCCAAGCGAAGGTCTTTCGATTCGTGTTGGCGAAAACAAAATGAAATGCAATTTTATTCCAAAGAGGTGATGCTATAAAAGACCCACTTTCGGGGCCTCGCGTCTCCAGTTGAGATTCATCAGGGCTCAGATGCGACAACGGTGGGTCAGGTACGTACATCCTGGTTTTAGGAAAAAAGCGAATCAGAATTTTCGAAACACTGAGAATTTAGTTTGGGGATGAGTTTTTCGATTACACCAAGTGCTGCATCTGGTTCTCGTCCTCCGACCCAAAACTGTAGGGATGGTATCCGATCGGGGGGATCTCCAGAGTGCGCACCAGTCGATTGGTGCTGGAAGAAGAATTACCACGCATGCGATTCTCCGCATCGTCGTCCTGGGAAGAGCTGATGCACTGGCTGGGTGAGTTGACGAACTCGTACCCAATTCCCACGCTGGCCGTCGCAGGGTGATTGTACTGTGCCCGCCACGCCCGGTTGCAGTTCTCGTGGAAATCCACGGCCGGCTCGTCTGCCTCCTCCTCCGAGGATTGCAGCTGGTGCAACATTATCGTCGGACTGGGCACCCACATTTCGCGACGACTGCTGCTCGACATGATTATTGTTTTAGAAGAGTATTTTCGTTTTGTTTTTGTATTTGTCTGACCTTTTTATATGAATGATCGAAATATATTTAATGCCTGCTGGGTGGTAAAGTCATAACAATCAGTTTTTGTCAGTGGAATTAGTTTTTGGATGTCCCTATGCAAGCACATCTATACTTCGGACATTTTTCAAAGAAAACCAAAAATAATGGGAACACAACATTTAGCAAATATTTTCTATGGTAACAACTTCTATTATGTGCATATTACACTTGAATTATCTACAAGCATGCATTAATTAGGCTGCCGTTTAAGCCTAATAAAATTAAATAGCATATAGTTTCTGTTCAGCTAGGCTTTTACCATGGGCTGTGAATATATTTTAAAAGCAAAAGCTTGGGCAAACGGAAATATGGAGTACCAAATCAAAGTTGAATCAGATAAAAGCTTGAGTTTTAAAACTTTTATAAACTTTTTTATAAAAAGTTTTTGTAAAAGCAATGAAAACAATTAGTGAATATTAATAATGTTATTGAAAATATATGTGTGGAAATAATTGTATCAAAATAAAATTGTAAGATTTTTAAAAATGTATTAAAGCTTTTGAAAATTTGGTAAAATCCAAATAACTAACCTCCATTTAAATATTGTTTGATGTTAAAACATTTGTATATATAAGAATATTTATGTTGTTCCGATTTACTGGTTAGGTGCCTTTAGAAAGTTTTTTGAAATTCGTAAACTTGCGAGACCTGGAAGAAATAATAATAAAAATCAAAATACAAAACGTTTTACTCATATACACGCTGCTTTTATTTACACATTTAACTATCTAAAACTAGGTGCACCAATCCATTGCCTAGCTGTATGGCACATAAACCGGACTTAGATTGAGTTGCTCGTAGCCCGTGGAGCCATCCTCCTGCGTGGCCTTCGTGTGGAAGGTACGATTCAGGTTGGTGGGTGCTACGTAGCCCAGTGCCCGGCCCATGGGCGCTATGACGAAGCGGGTCTGTGCCTGCGATGAACCCTGATAGGAGACCACTGAAGGCGCCGAATCGATCAGCAGACGAGGAGCCTCCGTCGCCGGCTTGGCCAAAACCAGAGCCACGAAAATTAGGGCCAAAAACATCTAAGAGGGTGGTAAAATCACAGTTGAGTAAATTAATAAAATTATGAATGGGGTTGGTCGATCTTGAACATTAAAAAGTGGTATTCAGTTACCAGAAGTCTTAAATAATTAAATTTAAATTGCATATTCTTATCGAAAATGAAACTAATATCATATTTTAAGTCAATTTTGTATTTAATTTTGTAAACTAGTGTTATCTTTGATCTTAACCAAGGCCCTTAACTCTTATGTAAGTATCTAAAGGCCTAAGATCTTATCACTGGTCAATATATATTGGAATATTCTCAAGAAATAAAAGTGATATCTATGAAATTTTAAATAATTAAAAAGTATTATAATTAGATGAAAACAAAACACATATGCTCTACAGTATCCCCGAAATCGACCCACCCTGATGGAGGATGATCATCCCACTCACCAGATGCCGCATGGTAACGATCCAAGCCTAATGGGGCGATTATGGAGGCAGCAGGCCGCTGAGAACACTGCCGACGAACTGAGGTGGGCGGATCGTATAAAATCGAAGACTGGAGTGGAGTGGAGGTTCCCCTTTCAAGAAACAAACACAAAGCGGAGCGAGTGGCAAAGTCAAACTGAAGTGCTGTGTGAATTGCTGTGCCATGAAATCACGGTGGAGCAGTTGCTGGCCCAAACAGGGGCGGCCGTGGAGCATGCCAAGGGGGTAGGCCCATCGAAGCAGCCCCCCTCGCAGAGCACCTGGAAAACTACTCGATCTGCGATCGAAGCGTTGGAAACACGCGCGCAGTCGCGGTTATCTTGCAATTGTGGGAGTGTCTCAACGCAGCTTTACGTAAAGAAATAATCCGTAAAAAAATCAAATATAAATAAATACCGAACGCCGCAAATATTGTAGTAATAGCGCCGCAACAACAAAGCCTACAACATGCGACGGCGTCTGCGTCTGCGCAACTCGCTGAAGGTTGATCCACTCCACTTCGCACCTCAACCGCTCACCCACCGCTCCACCAACTTCTGTGGTTGCCTGAATTGTTTGCTCTCTTATAATACTCTATCGAGGGGGGACTAACTTACCATTAGGAGATAAACTTATCTCATGAAGATCCATTTAAGTATTCTAACTATCTTGGGATTATTTAACAAAAAAAGGCGAAACTCATGAGTTTAAACATGAGGCCTAGTAATATAAGTAAGATTATAAATATTCTAAAAATTCCATACATTTATAAAAATTATATTATATTATCATTGATATTCCAGAACCAGAGCGTTTTACAATATAGTAAACATATGTTTTTAAGTTTTAATGTATTGTACTTATTGTATTGTATTGTAGTTGCTTATAGATTTGAATAGGGTATTTTAGGCTTCGAAGCTTATATTTTTTTGCCGCTTGAGGTTTCAATACTTTAAGTTGCCGTCGTGGCTTCGCACATTCTCTATTAATCCGGCAATCCGGCAATGTTGAGTCATGAGCCGGCCATATGATTTGGCGACTAGCCGGAGGCGCGTAATGGAAGCTCTAAGTGCACGCAGCTAATGAGAGGCTGTCGGATTGGAGTACTTTTTGATTAATTAATTGGCTGCATACAAAATGGCCCATAAATCTTACTGCGACAGGGGCAGGGTGACCTCTTGGTCAAGGAGTCCTCTTAGCCAAGAGGCTCGGCTATAAATGGCAGGGGCACATGTCTAACGGTAATTAGTTGCCCACTCAAGTGACCATCATGCACATCTCAGTGAGTAATCCGCAAAGTTTTGTCCGAGTTCCACCTGATTCCAAGCTGAATCCAATCCTAACAGGTTGTTTGCCTCGTACTCACCTGGGGATTAGGCCACAGTCACGCAGCCACAACCATTCTACATGGCAACGGCCAGTTGGCCAGTGCCGTTTCCCACCAGAGCTTCACCAGACTATCGTCAGCGGAGCCACTAATCCTCCAGTCCCAAAAGCAGTTGGTTGCTCCTTCAGCCAGGATTGTCAGCCATCACAGAGCTGCGGGGGAGCAGTTGGAGAGGTTCTTCCCGGCGGCGGAGCAGGAGGAGGAGGTGCAGCTGCCCACCATCTCCGGTCAGACACCAGCCCACCTCACCTACGCCGCCCATCCGGTGGTGCACCAAATGCTGCCGAGGATTAAGCCCGTGCGGAACATTAGCTTCGCCTCTTTAGTCCCAGGACCCCGCAGTTTGCCCACCCATCGCAACTTGTCACCAGTTTAGAATGCTAATAAATCCTAGGACTATTACATTAAATCCCATATATACACTTATCATATTCATTAGAAATATTTAATCCCAAGGATCCTGTAATTTGCATATTTCATTACAAGCCATAACTAGAAAGTTTTTAAGTTCCAGTTTATTTAGAGGTCCGAATAGGTATAATGATCCTTTATGATCTAACGATTTTGCCAACCAATATTATTTGCATACACACATCCACACAAATGTAGACACCTAAGTTTGGCTTGTCAATATTTTCGTTTACGCAAATTCTGTTTACTATTATTTTTTAAGTGTAATAGGCTTTTTTTAAGAAAATAGATACCTAGAGCCAAAATTCAGAGTCAACTAGAGGACTCCCAATAAGAAAGATCTAAGGCGCGGTGCAGCTGACCGAGGGATGAATGCCCGGCTGATCCTGAAGCAGCTTCCGAACCTCCTAATCTTTCGCATCCTGCACTATTCCCAGATCTCCCAGCAATTGCGGGACGAACTGGTAGTCTCTGCAGGATCCTTTAGGTTAAAAGGGAGAGGTAGCAAGGCCCTAGAGTGGCAGCCCTTCGTCCTGTGGTTGGCCAACCTCTTGCTGAACTACGCAGGCGATATCCTTGGAAACATACTGCTGGGTAGCCTCCCCTTGGAACCACTCTGCAATACCGCAGATATACTGCTTTGTTCCTTTATCTGGTGAGTGTGATTTATTGGGTATTTAAAAGAAAGAAAGAATTCTTCTTCACATTATTTTAAGAAAGTTCTTAATATCAAGGCAATTTCTCTTGAAATCGTATTTCGATATAGAGCCATATCATAAAAAGCGGGAATGTAATTTTTTTTTCCTTCAAGTAGGTACTGCATATTTTACTTTCCCTTTGACCTGGCACACGCCCTCGCCAGCACAAAGGCCTTTCGCGTTTTAACCACCGCCATGTCGACAATCAGCCAAGTTCAGCTGATTGACCGAGGAGTTCATTTGGCGGGACAGGTTTACGGAAATGCCCCAGTCCCGATGCTTATAGTGGGCACTGTCATGGGCAGTGGAGCTGAGGTGCTTAAGCCGGTGGCGAGTCTTTTAATCAATAGATGTCAACACAACCAGATGGCCTACCTCAAGCTAAGCAAGTGAGTTTTGTAGGCTAATTATATTATATCAAGAATCGGGAATATATATAGTATGTTATCACAGCAACTCTAAACTGGCACTGTTCCTATCACTCCTCTTCATGCTTGAGATGTTCCAAAGTCCCCTGATTCTGGGCCTCAACCGCCATCAACTGATAGTCTACACCCTTGTGATGACCACTGCCTTTAAGTTCCTGTCGCTGACCTATCGAACGGACCATTTTATTTGGCTTATGGAGCACCAGATACGATACACCTTTTTCGGCGGCCTCTCAAGGGATTTGAGCAAGTTCTTTCAACGCCTGCCGGAGGCCAAAAGCCGGCGAAAGTGGGCGTTCTCGGAACTGGATTGAAACCCTCGGGGGGATTGCGCAATCGTATGCCCGCCTCACATCCCCTCCAGAAGGGGCTAGGGGGTGGGTAAAGCGGCTTAAGTTACCGCCCGTCCAGCCAAGCGATTGGAGAACTGCAGCAGATGTCTCGCTTGATCGGGTTACGTATGCTAATCAGCTTAGAAGCGCCCACGGGTGGACAGAGCGACGGAGCCGAGGAGGAAGTGCTGGGTTACGACCACGGGTTGCCGGATGCTCAAGTGTGCTCGTCCAGCTGTACCGAGAAATTTCTGTTTGAGAATAAATTCCCACATTTAAACGAGAACCAAATTTGTATCTCTTGAAGACGAATCTATCTATTACTAATTGGGATTATCTAAAACTATCTCCAAGAATTTTAAATGTAAAAAGCATTCAATAAGGAAATTTAATGAAATTAATTAAGAAAATATATATTATTTGATTAGAATACACTCATGAACGCATTTTTTATGGGTTTTTATTTTCTACAGCTTACTATTAATTTTAAAATATATTTTTGATAATTTTTTAATTCATTGTTGGACTGGTTAAGAGTAAATAGAGTTTTGTTCTTTTCAATACAGGGGCTTAGGTAGAGACACTTGTATCATAAAAGAGTTGCCTTAGATCTATTTTTCCCTTTCAGGGTAACGAATATTTCTACTTTCTGGCCAGATAACTAGTCAAAATGTCATCGAATCGAAAAGAAAGTCCCCACAAAAAGAGCAAGACAAGCGTGAACAAGGCCAAAAAGAATCCTTCCGCCATTATATCGGTCCTTTGTCCGGATGTCAAAAAGCCCAAGAAGGAACCCAAGCCAGGGGATGAGATCAAGGACTGTCCCCGAGTGAAGAGCTACAAGTCCGAGGCCGACAAGCGAACATATCTTGAACAGGAGGTGGTGCCCATTATGATGGAGGGAATGCTGGGATTGGCTCGCGAAATGCCCCGCGATCCCATCGGTTACTTGGAGAAGTTCTGGCTTGAGAACAAGCACAAGTGCGATATTGATTTGCCACAGAATATACTTTGATATACGTATCAATCCCAGTGTAACCCAATCAAATTTCAAATTATCAGCTGATTAAATGTTTCTGGTTCAGTGTTTAACTTAGCCAATGATGCATTTCTAAGGGCAGTCAGGCGGGGAGATTGGATTAAGGTTTAAGGGCTATAAAAGCATATGTTCTAGTCTGAAACTGCATCATTCATTCGTCAGCTTACGGATCTGAAGGGAGACTACCATAATCATGTCTAGAATGGTGAGTCCTATCTTTAGGATGATCTATTTTAAACTTTTGTACTAAGATGAGCAATGAATTCCAGTTCCTGCCCATCCTGGCCACTGTGCTCGTCTTTGCCGGAGCTTCGCAGGCAGCCAGCTTGGAGTGGCCCTCGAATTTGGTGGCCCTCAGTTCGGTCAAGTCCTCGCAGCTGCTTCCCATTGCCAGCGAAGATTCCGTTGAGTTGTCTGAGAGCAGTTCGGGATCTGTCAGCTCAGTCGTTGCCCAACCGGAGCAACAATCCGAGGAGGATGAGGATGAGGAACAGCAGCTTTCCCAGTCCTCCAGTGGCAGTTCGGATCCCATCGATGCCCGTTTGGTTTCATCCGGCATACCCGTCTCCGTGCCACTTCCTCTGATCCTGGCCGCTCGCAATGGACTGCGTACCGTACTGACCATTCAGGAGCCGGCTGTGGCCAAGGTAGGTGAGGTGGTGCAGCACGTGCCCACTGCCATTTCGCATCAGAGCCAGACGGTGGTGCACGATCACCGCCGACTGGTCACTCCCATTGTGGCCCCAGCTGTTCGCACCACCCAGGTGGTTCGCCAGGAGCCACCGCTTCTGTGGACCGTGGCCTCCGATCCCCGAGTGGTTCTCATCCGCAACTGAGCAGGCATGCCAAAGATCAACAAGATGAACTCGCCAAATCTATGATATTACTACTCTTAATTTCTTTTCTCAACCTGATTACCCACAAAACTCTGTCTCTTCTCTGTCTTCTTTCTTCTGCCATTTTCTGTAGAATTCTTCTGTAGTGTGCTTTTAATAAAGATTTCACATTTGCACTTAACGAACTTTTATTTAAGGGACAATACTTCAAGTAGTTTTTACAACTTGCAAAAATACCATAATAGGAGTAAGGCTTAAATTTATAATGATTATATTAAAAAAGTGTTTGAGCGATCAAGAATCACTGGAAATCGTATGCTTAAAATCTATCTTTAAGAGGTGTCCTTCTCAATCTCCCCCTTAAAGACATTTACCACTCGTTACCCATATAACTCTATCTCTTCGCCCATCTTATGTAAAATGATTGTCCTGCATTTTGCGTATTGTGAACATATTGCATTTTCACTTGTCTGGCTGGGATTCTTGGGCGTTGTCGGTGCGACAGGAAATCAATAAAGTTAACACAGAGACCGGCCCACGACCACAATAAATATGCCACATCCGCCCCCCGGTTCCCCAATGAACACTCCGATTGTGTGCAATCAAGATCTCTGGAGGATTAGGCAGGCACAGGGTCTGGGTTAACGCCCAAGCTCTTCTCATGTTCAAGGGCTGGGACCACTCATTTAGAATGGTTTGTCCATTCTCCAGTCTTGGGTTCTTTTGCTGGACTATAAAAGCGGATGATTGGCTGGCCAACGAACAACAGTCAAGTGAAGTGCACTGAGCCAAGAAGATGTCACAAAGATTGGTGAGTTCAGAACAATATTCAATGAAAACCCATATAGATTTTAAAATTTCTGTTATTCTTGTAGAATTTATCATTTGTTCTCCTGCTTTGCCTTTTGGCATTTGGGAAAGCTGCGTTGCAAATCTACCATCCTTTAATGACCCTGCATCACCAACCATCACTGGCCCAGGTGGGTCATCTGGTGGACCATGTGCCCACCGCGGTTTCCCACCAAAGCTCCACCATCGTGCATCGAAGTATTCCAAGGGTTACACCACTGCTGACTCCGGCCTTGAGGACCACCTATTTGCACTATCCCACCTGGAATTATCCCCTCTTCGATGGAGCCAACACTCTGTACAGAAAGTAATCCTCTGAGCAGCATGAATCCTTAAATTTGTTTCAATTCAAATGATTGGCCTACCAAACTTTCGATTTAAACAATAAAATAAAACAAATTCAAAAGCCCCATAAAAGACATTGTATCGCATTCGGATGGGGGAAATGGCGCGGGGGTGTATGGGATAATCCCAACTGGATTCTGAGTAGACGACTGCCAATTAGATTTCGCGCTACGCTGCACTTCTGATTGAGTGTTGGGTGGCGGAATATGATTCAACTGACGTCACCAGATGAGCAAACAAACGCACGAAGTATGCATTGCTTTGGTATCCTGTTCTCAAGGATCTTGTAGGGGTTTATTGAATCAGAGGAGGCAGGACAGAGGGCCATAGCTGATTTATATTTAAATTGAAATAACAATCGTGTTTCGAAGTTTTCTATGAGGTGCTCAAAAATATTACTAAACATGTTAATTGCAAAATTTGTAGAGCTATTTTTTAGTTGACAATTAAACATATATTTTTATATATTTTTATGTGGGAAAATAGTATTAATATAATTACTATATACCCAAAAATCCCCACAAAAGTGCAATTTAATTTGAACTGAATTTGCAGAGCATTACCTAAGTTGTTTATTAAGACTTAATATTTATTTTAGTTGATCAAAATCGGTTGACCTGCAGTACAAATAATTAACGAAATATTTAAAATTTTGTTTATGTAAAGATAAATTGACGATAGAATTTAGTAAGTATCCTTACATTAATAAAGGTTATAGGGCTAAACTATATAGCATTAGAAATATTTAAAATAAATAAACAAACAGAACAAATACACAGTTTTTATAGAATGGTTTTAATATTAACCAAATCTTACAATAGGTATCTCAAAGCACACATACTCGAAACCTTTATTATTTTTGGGTGCATTGGTGCAAGGATGATTGACGTGCTGTACGCAAATGTTTTGGCATTATTTCCAGGGCCTTGGAGGCTGTTGTACTCTTATCAATTTTCATAGGAATGACCCCGGGTCAGTGGCCGAAAACCTAGCCCAGATCCCTGAAGAGCCAAGGAGGTGAGGGAAGTGGCTTGGATTGAGTGAGGACTTTCACCCAGTGTGTGAAATTGCCCTGGCTTCGTCTCCCATCGAAAGATAACAAATGGAAGCCCCAATGTTTTCAAGGCAGAGATAATAGAGTTTCAAATGTCACAATAGAGTAATGAAACTGAAAGCCCTGAACCTCAGTTAAGGCCAAAACTTCTGGAAGACACTGAAAACAGGTTATGCAATCGGCAAAGGATTTATTGATGCCAATTAACCGTGTGAACAACCCGCTGGGCAAAATGACGCAGAAAGCTTAAAGGGGGTAAGTAATACCCTTCCAAAACGCACGTTAAGCATTATCGGATTACACAAGATAAGGGGCTCCTGCATTAAGGTCAAAGCATCAAGGTGGGCGGAACAGTTTGCTTATCGATTGATGCACAAATGCATTGTTTTACCCGAGAAATTGAATACCTGTCATTACCAGGAAACGCAGGCAATCCAATGATGCAATTCGAAGAGGCGCAATTTCTTCTGCTCCACCTCATCGACAACTCGGATACCATCATCATCCATCTCACAATCGTCATCATGGGCTTTGTATTACCCAGTCCCAGTTCCCGGCATAGCAGCCTTTTGGGCTCTCAGCAGCCAAAGCCGATCGGCCTCCCAAAAGGCTGCCCCAAAGAATCGGACAATGAAAGAGCCATGAAAGACCCCCACCCCTCCCAAAAGCTGGGTTCATTGCATCCCTCTCCCTGGGACTGGGGCTTTGATTGGACCTGGTTATATGGGCACTCTCGATTGGCACAGTGGGTGATTTGGGTGCTCGACTGCTGTGTAATCGGTTTGTTTGTCTATCCCAACCGCCATTTGAATGCATCGTTATGCTGTCATCCTGGCTACTGAACGCACTAAAAGGACCAGCCATCCTGGGGGGTCTGCTTAGAATTTAATAACTTAAATTCCGAATGCGAAAGATGAAATTCCGTCTGTGCAAATCAAACGGCGAGCCACTTACCATAAGTGGCTAGCCACAAAAATCACATTTTCCCAGAACTCCCGGCCCAAAACATATTAAATATTTGATGTAATCCAGAAGTTTCTACTTAAGGCGCAATTATTGGCCAACTTTTGGCCGAGGCTTTCACTTAAAGCTGGGGGGAGAACGGAAGTTTTGTGGGGCAAGACCCCCCTCTTTCCAGCTCCAAACTTTCCGGTGTGGCAAGCAACGGCTTTCAAATTAATTTACAAATGTTCAGAGCTTGTCGTAGGTAAATTTGTTTGAGCCGAGATGAAGACAATAAGCCGTGTTAAATGAGCCCAGCAGTAAAAGAGCAGTGAAAGGGCAGCAATAGCAATAGCAACCAAAGCTTTTTGATGCGGGTGAAATAATTCGGGATATTATGTAATAACCAGGGGGAATAAGTGGGAGCAACAGCTGTCTGCCAACGACATGACTCACTCTGCCCTTTAAAAACCATTTACCACTCGTCCGTATGCATATCACACAATGTGGGTGAACGACCTTGACGGTTTTGGCCAACTATAATGATTACAATAATACAACAATAAACCACAGCATACGCATCGATTTTATTGCAGGCCATTTCGCAAAAAAATAAACAAAACGAAGCTGAGATGAAAACAAAAGCGAAAAACTCATTCGTATGGAAGGCACATAAACCAGTCAAAGAAATACAAATCGACTCCAAATATATGTATGAATGTAAGTCCGGCTCACTGCACCGCACTCCAATGCAATATTATTATTATTATGCAAGCCCAAAGCAAATCCAGCCAAGCGATGCTAGCCACAAACTTGACTGGGGTTTCCCCAAGGCCCAAAAGCCGTTCAAGCCGTTGAAACCGGCAAGCAATCAAGAATTGAATAGGCCAACACTGCAAGACCGAAAACTGAAGTTGGGTTTTTTTGGGATTTTCCAGCATTGGCGAATTTTTTGGGCAAATCCGTGGCACAATTGCAGAGGCAGTAAAAAGGCGGAATGCAATTGTAGACACTGAGGGAAAAATTATCTGTAACATATAATTTAAAAAAATATATAACAAGGAAAAATAAAAAAAAATTTATTGAAGGAAAAATGATATGAAATTTAAAAGGAATGGAAGAAAATATTCACAGTTTTTAACTAATTGTTTAATAAAAAATAAAAGGAATAACCTAAAGTCTGTCTCCTATGTGGTTTAGCTTCCCATATTAACTAAATTATTAATTTACAAAAATCTCTTAGTTGGTAATTTTATAAAATGTATACAATAATGATATACAGACATTATCTTAATATTTCTGTAATTAGTTTGTAGTTATCTATAAATAGGAAAGCTCTGTACATACAATGTTCCCTAGGGAACGACCTGCAAGGGTATAGAAACTTTGGCTTGCCGAGGCTAGATTCCCTACTTTTTTTTGGCTAAAAACTATTAAATTAAAATGCTAAAGATTTTAATAAATTCCAATCGGCTTTGAAGCATGATAATCAGGGCTGATTTTGCATCTCAGCAAAAAATTAAGCTCTAAATCCATGCCCAATAAATAATGGTTGACTTAACGAGATTGCCAAATTGTTTTTGGCCAAATGGTGCGTGTGGGTGGAAGACCTCAACTTGTTGAGCAATTGACACAAATCTAAGTCGGGGAGTCGACAGACCAACCTTGAACAAGTGACAATATTTTTTTTTTGCCTTTTGGACTTGAACTGCGACAAGTTGTGTGAGAAAGAGAAAGAGAGAGAAGGTATACTAAGAAAGAGAAAGAGAGAGTGCTTCAGGCAGAGGAAGCTAACAAAGTGGAGCAAACACGATTCCCACACAAATCCATTTGGGCAAACAATTAACAAGTTGCCCATAATTAACATAGGCCACATGTGTTGTAATACTGCTGTCCAAGAAATGAGCAAAACGTTGGAGCGCACCATAAATAGCCATGAATATATGCCAAATCTCGAGTGAAGTTCCAATAACGAGCCCCTGAACCTGTAACCCCATCGGATTACACACTCTCCACCTGGCATTAGTTGTCTCCGGCGAGGTCCAAGTTCAAGTTCAGTTCATCAGCTACTGGGATTTACCAATAGCTAAGTTTCAGCGAACCGACAAAATTATTTTTTATTAGGGAAATCAGCTCAAGTCACTGCATATAGCACCAAAAGATACACTATTCGTTCTCTACGTACCATATTTATTATAACTACACTATGGTCATGACTTACACCAACTTTCTTGTACCTTTCATGTTCAAAACCCAAAATATTAAACTCATAAATTTTTAAGAACATGTTGAGTGCTACTAAATATTTAATCATTTTATTTAATTTTTTAACACCATTCTAAATTTTTTTTAAAATTAAACTAATATGTTTTTTAATTTATTGAATACGATGAATCATAGCTTCGAGTTGATAGCTATATACATACATATACTCCACCAAGATTTTCAAAGAATACCTAAACTAAAATATACACTCCTACAATTCCAATACAATTATTATTTTTGAAATAATGTTTAAAAAAGTGTCTGTTTCAATTATGATATATATTTTATATATTTTAACTATCTTAGTGACAAGCTTAAGGCCGCGTAGCTATAGCTAAATTTTTAATAATAATAACTATCTTAGTGCTGCAAGATGATCTTATAGTTAGGGCACTAGTAAGATATTCACTCCATCTCATCGATATGCCCAAAATATAAGGTAAAGCAAACTATCACAGACGGAATTAAAAAACGATGCGAATCAGGTTCGACGCACCTCCTTCAAACAATGCTCGAAAAGCCCAAAGTGCTCGCCGGGTGAGTCATAAAAAACCCGATGGTCAAAAACTACGCTACTGATTGATAAAAACTCCACGAATTAATCACGAACAAATAGCCAAAAGGTGTTTGCCAAACAACCCAGAGTGGCGACAATAACAACTCCGGCAAATCAATGCGATTAGCATAATTTTCAGAGATCTACTCATTATCAACTTTCTTGGAATGTTTAACATAAAACGCCACTTAAGTGGGGCTAGATAAACGACTCCAGCTCATCGAACCAAGGTCAGTAACACA